AAAAAATCCGAAGAAATAGCATGCAGGAAAAAATCATGAAAACTTATGCGACCACCTACACTTGTGCTTACATGCTCTTGAGTCTTTTAATAGCTTAGCAAGAAAGCATTGCGGAAAATTACGGATTCTTTGAACAGTGGCTTTCTTTATATAATATAAGAGAGAACCAAACTTTGCAATAGCTGTAACAGCATAGAATGAAAATACAAGTCCGATAAAGAAAATATAATTTAGGTGAACGATATCGATTTGAGAGAAGCAACACATGAGCAAGCGGTAAATGCCATAAAGAATGCTACCAATCCTGTCAGATTTGTTCTTCAGTCCTTACATAGTTTCACTCCACAACAGGTATGAACAATATTAACAAATTAAGTAATTAATTCAGGCAAATTTTAGCAAATGATCAACTCTGCCCCAAATTCCACCGCTGAGTCCGCACCAGCAGAAACTTCGAAAACAGAAGTAACTCCTAGCAGTAAACTCGAATCTCCAACGTCACCCACTGTAACCATGCCGTCACCGAAAAAGGAACCTATAGCCAAAGCTTCTGAAGAGAACCCATCGGAACAGCCTCCTCTAAACAAAATTGAAGAGTTAACCGAAAAGGCGAGTGTTTCCTCTCAGCAAAGCAACGAGGAGCGATCTAGTCTTTCGAGAAGCCAGAAAATTGAGCATAACGAAAGCCCTAGCAAAAAATCTGTGAAATCTGTGAAATCCATCACAAGTGAAAAACGACGAGAAAGTCTTGAGAAGAAGCAAATCGAGAACAACAAATCAGTTGCTAAACAGGAGAGTATGCCAAAGAGGGATTCCCTGAGGAGTGAGGAGTACAGAAAAGAGGTGCAGTGGGTTTCTCTCCTTTTTTCATAAAAAGTTCTTCATCGCTCTTAGGTTCCCTGCGCGGACATGTCTCCTTCCTCGTTTTGATTGATACTCATTTTCCATTACCTGCTGCTTTCGGATCTGCTCTACCATTCTGAGTAAATTTCTCATGGAAACAGCACAAAGACCACCGCCAGACTTGCACGTCATCATTGCAACAGCGAAAATTTTCGATAGAACATAATCGAAAAAGATGTTTTTTAATTTCTCTGGCGCCGCATGCTCTGCAATTGTGCAAAGTAATGTGCGCCGCTTTTCTAATAGTCAGCTAAAATTCAGAAAATGCATGTGACGAATTTTTTATTTCCAAAAAAAAGATCGAACACGTTTGTTTCAGTCAGGACCTTTAATAGTTTCGGATGTTTCCAGTTCAGAAGCACATGAAGAGGAGCCGAGCACTTCATCTCAGGTTGGTAATTCAGCAAATTTTTCGTACTTCTTTTCATTCGGTTGCAGAAAAAACTTGCCATCTCTAAAGATTTCTTCACCTCATCAGATGAACTTTCATGGATTTATGGGTGTTTGACAATTTTCAAGTTATTCCCTATTAGAACTATGTGTTAGTGCGTTTCTACTCCAGAAGTTTTATTGCTTATCTCCGTTAAAAATTATTTTTGCTCATTTTAAAGTAATTTAGAAGGACGATCTAGATTAGGCTAAGTGAACGAGATCGCTACAGCTTTTAGACGGAGAATTAAAAATTTGAACAATATGAAAGATAAGTAAGGACACATACTGCAAGAGACTGCGCTAAAATTTGTATGATATTTCTGTTTTGAGAGAAGGAGGGATTGAAATGCGTGCCTGTCTAGACCGTTTATGAATACACCATAAGAGAAAAATCCTGAGCACTTACGTTTTCGAAAGGTAATGCAAATTTGATAACACAACCATTGACTGAACCTTGATCTCATGAGGGTTCGTTCCTTCTTGCTCTTTTTACAGGTTCAACTGCGATTTACATTTGTTTGATAGGCAGTTAAATAAACATCGAGTAATTTAATTATTGATACACTAGTAGATGGTTTGAATCAGACCTCGGCGGCAGGTCTCCGGAAGGCAAGCTGGAATTCGTTTTTGTGGA